ATAAAACCGTTCGACTTCAGCTTCTTCAGCATTACTGGTTGGGGCATAGACTTGGATTACCATGATATTGAATGGTGATTACCGTGATTTGCCTTGGAAATGAACAGAGATCATTCTGTCATTTTTGAGATTGCATCCAAGTACTGCATTTCGGACTCTTTTGTTGACCATGATGGCTATTCCATTTATTCTAAGAGATTCTTGCCCGCAGTAGTAGATATAATGGTCATCTGAGTTAAGATCACCCATTCCAGTCCATTTTAGTTCGCTGATTCCTAGAATGTCGACGTTCACTCTTGCCATCTCCTGTTTGACCACTTCCAATTTGCCTTGATTCATGGACCTAACATTCCAGGTTCTGATGCAATATTGCTCTTTACAGCATCGGACCTTGCTCCTATCACCAATCACATCCACAACTGGGTGTTGTTTTTGCTTTGGCTCTATCCCTTCATTCTTTCTGGAGTTATTTCTCCACTGATCTCCACAAACATGTTGGGCACCTACCGACCTGGGGAGTTCCTCTTTCAGTATCCTATCATTTTGCCTTTTCATGCTGTTCATGGGGTTCTCAAGGCAAGAATACTGAAGTGGTTTGCCATTTCCTTCTCCAATGGACCACATTCTGTCAGACCTCTTCACCATGACCTGTCTGTCTTGGGTGGCCCCACACGGCATGGCTTAGTTTCATTGAGTTAGACAAGGCTGTGGTCCATGTGATCAGATTGGCTAGTTTTCTGTGATTATGGTTTCAGGATGTCTGGGCTCTGATGACCTCTAGCAATACCTACCATCTAACTTGGGCTTCTCTTACCTTGGACGTGGGGTATCTCTTTACGGCTGGTCCAGCAAAGCGCAGCCCCTGCTCCTTACCTTGGACAAGGGGTATCTCCTTATGGCCGCCCCTCCTGACCTTGAACGAGCTCCTCTCGGCCCTCCTGCACCTGCGCAACTGTCACTTATTGAGGATTCCTGTTGCTCCACATCTCTGCCAGCATTTGGTGTTGTCATGCTCTCAATCTGGGCCATACTCACAAGTGTCTTAGTGCATTTTTTGAAGTATACGCTGAGCCGAATTTTCCCAGTAAGCACACATATAACCAGCACCAGATGGAGAAATGGTACATGAGTGTTCCTGGAGACTCCTCACTCTCCCAAGGGTGTATCAGCTCCCAGAAGGGCAACCACAATTGACTTTAAATGCCATGGATTCCTTGTCTGTTTGAATTTTAAATTTGTTGTTGTTCAGTTGCTCACTGGTGTCCAGCTCTGCAACCCTATGGACTGCAGCACATTAAGCTTCCCTGTCCTTCACCATCTCTTGGAACTTGCTCAAACTAACATACATTGAACTGATGATGCCATCCAACCATCTCATCTTCTGTTGACCCCCTTTCCTGCCCTCAATCTTTCCCAGCATCAGGGTTTTTCCAATTAGTTGGCCCTTTGCATCAGGTGGCCAAAATATTGGAGCTTCAGCAGCAATCCTTCCAATGAATATTCAGGGTTGATCTCCTTTAGGATTGACTGGTTTGATCTGTTTGCAGTCCAAGGTACTCTCAAGGGTCTTGTCCAGTACCACCGATTGAAAGTATCAATTCTTCGAACTTTAAATACATGGAATCATACAGTACATTCTCTCTTGGATTCTTCTGTTGTTCTTTGACCCTTCTTTGACTCATTATCACATTTATGAGATCCATCCATATTCTTGTGTTCATTGTTCATTGTCATGGTGTTCATTGTGTTCAAGGTGCTTTACTTTACATGGATGGAATGTACCAGAATGTATTTATCCATCTCACTGTTGATAGATGTTTGGACTGTTTTCTGTTCTTGCCTATTGCAAAGAAAGCTGCAACAAATTTGTTTGCACATCTTTTGCTAAATATATGACAACTGGCAGAGAATACGCCTCTCCTTGGCCTTTGCACTGAACACTGTGCACTGAACTCGTCTTCTGTGTCCTTTCATCCCGGGATCTTTGTTCTGCTTGGGCAGCTTTGAGACCCACTTGTCCCTCTGCAGCCCTGTGAGATTACCGGAAGCTCCCACAACTCCTCCGTCTCTTAGCTCAGCCCCTGCTCAGATTCTGAGGTTTTGCTTTATGTCAAGAACTTGTAATTGTCCTGAAGCAAGGAGGGGCTCATAAAATATCAGCCCTCTTCTCTGAAATTTCCTCTTCTTAGGATCATGATCTCGGTCCCCTCAGTATTTTTTTTTTTTTTCTATTTACTTATTTATTTGGCTACTCTGGGTCTTTGTTGCATCACATGGGATTTTGATCTTTCTTGCACCATAGTTGTGGCCTATGAGATCTAGCTCCCCAACCAGGGATAGTACCCATGTCCCCTGCATTGGGAGCATGGAGTCTTAGCCACTGAACCACCAGGGAGGTCCCACACTCAGTGTCTTTAAAGGAAATAGTTATACAGAAAGAGACTCACAGACTTGAGAACAAATTTATGCTCGCCAGGGAGCAAGGATGGGAGGAAGGGAGAGTTAGGCATTTGGGATGGACATGTACACACTGCTCTATTTAAAACGGATCACCAGCAAGGCCCTGCTGCCGAGCACAGGGCACTCTGCTCAGTGTTATGGGGCGGCCTGAATGGGAGGGGAGCTTGGGGGAGAATGGATACATGTGTGTGGATGGCTGAGTCCCTTTGCTGGTCACCTGAGACTATCACACATTGTTAATCGACTCTACTCCAATACAAAATAAAAAGCTTAAAAAAAGAAATAGTTATATGTAGAGCTAACAGCCTCTCTCTTTCTTTCTCTGTATCTCTCTCCTCTTTATTATATATCATGTCTATCTATCCATCTATCTCTGTCACTCTCTATCATCAATATCTCTTTTATATCTTTATCATATCTGTTTATCCTTTACTGTATATCTGTCTATATATCTATCTGTCTGTCTCTCATCTATCTCTGTATCTAATTTTTTAAATTGTTCTTTGCAGGACTATTGATCTGCCCAAGCCAAGGCTCTGCACCCAAATGTTGCTGAGCTCCTGTCTCCCTTACTCCCCTCAGGTGGTCAACCGAACACCGGGCTTGGTTGGAGACAGAAGAAACCCAACAAGATGTGTAGAAGCGTGCTTCCCAGGGGCTTTCTCTGGGACGTTGCTCCAACAAGCAGAAACACACCCATGTAAGTTTGAGGACCTTTGTAGGTAATACTTTTTTCTTGAGGAATGACCTCTTTGTAGGTAATACTTTTTTCTTGAGGAATGACCTCACACAACTGCATATTAAGAGTTACTGGGTATCATGTGGGAAAGAAACTGGATTAACTCCTTTAAATCTGTGTTTCCCAGTCCTATTCCATCATGGAACGCTTCTTTCTCAAAGCAGCCGACGGCATCCCAAGCCCACTTCGAGAAAGATGATGAAAACCACAGCTGACTAAAGTCCTGAGGAAAACTGGGGGATGGACACCCCTTACTAACAGTTACAAAATCAGGGACCCCCAGGCTAGCTTAGAGGGGACAGAACCATCTGATGAGCAGCCTGGGTCAGTCTGGAGTCAGCCTGGGGGAGGTGTGTGTCACAGGACACGACTGTGCTCAAGTCCAGAAGTTTGAATGACACATGGATCCTTTCTGGTTTTGCGCAGTGAACTGAGTTTTTACTGGCTGTGACTATACTCCTTCCAAATTGCTCCCTGCAGGGCCTAACAGTTATCTCTGAGCAGACTTCTTTCCTTAGCTCTGTGGTGATGCAAGGAAAATATGGGTTGGCAAAAAAAAAAAAAAAACACACAACACTCATGTAGGCTTTCCTGTAACATCTTACGAAAAACCCAAACAAGCTTATGACTTTGAGCGAACTCCAGGACACAGTGAAGGACAGGGCAGCCTGGTGTGCTGCAGTCCATGGGGTTACAAGGAATCAGACACAACTTAGTGACTGAACAACAATATTTAGCATGACACCAGCATTTAATTAGCAACCAGTAAATGTTGAATATCCTCTTAGTTCCCAACTATTCTTGGTGTTTTCCTATACCATGGAAGGGCAAGGAAACAGTCCTCCTGTGGAGCCTCCAAAGCCTCGAGAGACCCACTCGGGACTCTGACCTCCAGAACTATAAGATAATAATCATACGTGTTGTTTGAACCTCTAAGCTTGTGATGACTTGTTACAGCGGCAGGAGAATTCATCATTATGAGAACTTGTGCTTTTACGGGGGTGGTGGGAGGGCTTGGTGGGGCGGGGAGAGTTGTTGAGAGGCACAAGTTCCTGCTTTTGTGCTGAGACAAGGTGAGGAGGGCAGGTGGGGGGTCGGCTGGAGGCCTGGGGCCTGGAGGAAGTGCCAAGTGCCCTGCTGCCAGCCTGGCTGTGGGGAGGGCAGGGGAGAGTGTAGTCAGGGGCAACGCTGAGATGGTCCTGAGCCCCAAGGGAGGCGGCTTTTGCTAAAAAAGGGAGGTTGTGGGACTTCACACCTGCAATGCAGAAGATGCAAGAGATGTGGGTTCGATAAAGGGGTCAACAAGGTCCCCTGGAGGAGGGCATGGCAACCCACTCCATTATTCTTGCCTGGAGAATCCCATGGACAGAGGAGCCTGGTGGGCTACAGTCCATGGGATCGCACAGAGTCAGACATAACTGAAGGGACTCAGCACAGAAATATGAACTTCTACATACCATGCCTTAGCTGTGCTTCTCAACTGAAGGTTCCAAAAATCACATGGTTTCTAATAAGTGAATTGGGCTTCCCTGGGGGCTAGGTGGTAAAGAACCTGCCTGCCCATGTAGGAGACTCCGGTTCGATTCCTGGGTAGGAAAGAACCCTGGAGAAGGAAATGGCACCCCACTCCAGTATTCTTGCCTGGAGAATCCCATGGGGGAGGAGCCTGGAGGGCTGCGGTCCATGGGGCTGCTGAAGAGTTGGACTCGATTGAAGAGACCAGGCACCCAGGCATGCACGTGGGACCATGAGGTTGGATGACCCTGTTTGAGAGGCCTGTGTGCATGCTAATCTTGAACAGTCTGGGGCTGGAAAGGAAGCCTGGCTCGGGAGGAGGAGAGAAGTCCAATGCGGGCAGCGGGAGGGAGCCCCGTTTGCTGCGTGGACACCCCAAGGTGGAGGTTGGTGGGGTGACCCGGCCCCACAGCCGGCTGCGCTGCGCTGAGTCTGCCGTGACCTGCTCCACCCCGCAAGTTTGCTCTGACTCACAGGTGGGCTCCGCCCCAGCGGCCGCTAGGGGTGAACACGCTCTGCACCAAGATAACGGTAAACAGCTGCACTCACGTGCTAGGAGTCTAGCGCTGAGCCCCAGGGTCAGTGCTGAGCCGGCTCTATTTAACATCTTCGCTAATTATCTGGAGAAGATAAAGACTTGTTAATTAAATTCACAGATTACACCAAATTGGGAGGTGTTGAGAAGACCAGTGATGGCAGAGAAATCATTCCAAGAGCCCAGAAATATGGACGAGAAATAAAATGAGACTCGGAGTGGAACACTGCAGGAGGACTGAACCAGAGTGTATTTGTCCAAAACATTGTAATTCAATGGGCAGGAACAGCCAGGAAAGGAGAAATGTTTAAAAAAGGCCTATGGGTGATGTCAGACGACAAATTAATTATAATTCTACTAGATAGTTCTGCAGCAAAATGGTCCAGGGTGGTTTCAAACTCATACTTACAGGCCTCATTAGCTTGGGATGCGCTCATAATCTCTTTCTCCCTCTATACACACACACACACACACACACACACACACACACACACACTCTGCAACCTGACTCGTCAGCAACGTTTTTGTTGCCAGGACGACTCAAGGGTACAAGATGATGGAGCTTCTCTAGGCCCTCGACCTTGCTTCCCAAAGTCCCTTCTCCCGTGGAGAGGCAGAGCCTGGGTCCCCAGCATGAGCCCTGTGCTCAGACCCGGCTCAGAGAAGGCAGAGCTCGGCCACATGGGAGCCCGGGAACATCCCCAGCCTCACTCACCACTTTCGAAGAGACAAGAATAGCGACTGTGGGGGCACAGTGGCGAGGTGTCGTGCTGAATCCTTGACACAAAATATTATGCAGCCTAACTTTTGCAGTAGGCTGAGGTTTCAGGACTGGTCTTGACCTCTTTCACAGGTGGGAACACTGAAGCCCGGCCCAGTGAAATGACATGCCCTGGATCACAAGGTTAGACTGTGACTGAGACGTAGATCGGAACTCCAGAGCTGGGGCTTGTAACCATGACTTGACATGGTGTCCTAGGGGGTGAAAGTGATGACCTAGTGTCTTCTTTCTATTTGATTCTAGTTAATTCACGCATACCAAGTCATTACTGTGTGCTGATCTCAGTCCTAGGTGGTGGGTGCTCTGCAATGCCTCAGCAAGACCTCCATCAGAAAGCAACCAAATTGGCAGTGTCTCCATGCTTTGCTGACCCTGTGAGCCCATCATTAATCCTCCTGTAAGCCCATCCATGGGTACATATATATTTGTTAATTATAAGGAAATTTATGACCAACCTAGACAGCATATTAAAAAGCAGAGACACTACTTTGCCAACAAAGGTCGAATCTAGTCAAGGCTGTGGTTTTTCCAGTGGTCATGTATGGATGTGAGAGTTGGACTATAAAGAAAGCTGAGTGCCAAAGAATTGATGCTTTTGAACTGTGGTGTTGGAGAAGACCCTTGAGAGTCCCTTGGACTGCAAGGAGATCCGACCAGTCCATCCTAAAGGAGATCAGTCCTGAGTGTTCATTGGAAGGACTGATGTTAAGCTGAAACTCCAATACTTTGGCCACCTGATGCGAAGAACCGACTAACAGGAAAAGACCCTGATGCTGGGAAAGATTGGGGACAGGAGGAGAAGGGGATGACAGAGGATGAGATGGTTGGATGGCATCACCGACTCAATGGACATGGGTTTGGGTGGACTCCGGGAGTTGGTGATGGACAGGAAGGCCTGGCGTGCTGCAGTTCATGAGGTCGCAAAGAGTCGGACACGACTGAGCGACTGAACTTCGCTGAACCATGGTATTGTTGCTCTTCAGTCACTGAGTCATTTCAACTCTGCGACCCCATGGACTGCAGCACGCCAGGCTTCCCTGTTCTCCACTGTCTCCTGGAGTTTGCAAAAGCTGATGTTCACTGAGTCAGTGATGCCATCCAAATATCTCATCTTCTGCCACCCTCTTCTCCTTTTGCCTTCAGTTTTTCCCAGCATCAAGGTGTTTTCCATATTATAGTCATACCGTGGTATTACCATATTACATGTTATACAAGTTACCCCAAACTAACAATTTCAGATACGTGGAAGCTCTATTTCCATCCAGCTGGCCGTTGTGACTGCACACCAGCTCCATTCTGGAGCCCTGGTTTAGGGATGAATTTCTGCATAGGTATTGAGGGCTGAACAGCACCCCCCAAACTCAAGTCCACCTGGATCCTTAGAATGTGACCTGGTTGGAAACAGGATCATGGCAGATGTAACTCATTTCAATGAGGTCACACCCAATGACTTTGGCCATAAATCCAGAGACTGATGTCCTTATAAGAAGACAGGATACAGAGACACAGAGAAGGAAGCCACAGAAGGTGGGCAATGCTGCGTCAAGCCGAGGATTTCCAGGAGCCTCAGACGCTGGAGGAGGTAAGGGGAGGGATCTCCTTTAGAGCTTCTGGAGGAAGGACAGCTCAGCTGACACCCTGATTTCAGACTTCCGCTCTTCTAGACCTGTGAGAGGATAACTTCCGTGGTTTGAAGCCACCAGGGTTTTGGTGCTTATTCCCGACAGCAGCCCTGGGAAACTATAGCTACTGCAGATGGGCAGGGACCATGCCTGAGCGCTGCACCGAGGCCGCGCTGTCTGCCTCGTGGAAACCCAGCAGAGCTCCAGAATGCTGGTCCTCCAAGGAGCCAACCCCACCCTCCTTACACAGAACAGAGCCTTATTAGGGCTTCCTTAGCCCACAAAGGTCCATAGAGTCAAAGCTATATTCATTCCAGCAGTCATGTATGGATGTGAGAGATGGACCACAAAAAAGGCTGAGCATGGAAGAATTGATGCTTTTTTTTTTTTAGAATTGATGCTTTTGAACTGTGGTTCTGGAGAAGACTGAGAGTCCCTTGGACTGCAAGGAGATCCAACCAGTCCATCCTAAAGGAAATCAGTCCTGAATATTCACTGGAAGGACTGATGCTGAAGCTCCAATCCTTTGTCCTCCTGATGTGACGAACAGGCTCACTGGAAAAGACCCTGATGCTGGGAAGGATTGAAGGCAGTAGGAGAAGGGGACGACGACAGAGGATGAGGTGGTTGGATGATATCACCGACTCAGTGAACTTGAGTTTGCGCAAACTCCAGGAGTTGGGGATGGACAGGGAGGCCTGGTGTGCTGCAGTCCATGGGGTTGCAAAGAGTTGGACATGACTGAGCGACTGCACATCAAGGGCCTCTGGGCCTTAGTCTCTAGCGCAGCCCCTCCTTTGTCTGCTGTGAGCCTAGGCATGTCTTCCTCCGTCCACACAGGCCCCATCTGTCCAGAGTGCCTCCTGCAGGAGGCTCAGCCCTGGATCTCATCCTGCAGCCAGCGTCTGCCTGTCTGTCTGCTACTCTGGGCACCAGGTCCCATTCACCGGCCACCCTCAAGCGATGCATGGGTGGTGTGCCCATCTCATACCCATCCGTATCTTTGTCCTGGGTGCTCGTGGGACTTCGTGCATTCCCATTTCCCCAGAATACCGCTCCATGGGAGGCTGGCCCTTCCCTGAGGTTGGAAGTGGTGAGGTGGGTCCCAGGAGGCAGAGTCAAGGAAGGCGGGGAGCAGCTGGGCAGATGACGTGGGTTGAATTTCTGCATAGGTATTGAGGGCTGAACAGCACCCCCCAAATTCAAGTCCACCTGGATCCTTAGAATGTGACCTGATTGGAAACAGGATCGTGGCAGATGTAACTCATTTCAATGAGGTCACACCCATGACCCCGCCTCCCCTTCCTAGAAGGAGGACAAGCTACAGAGCAGGGGACCACCGGTCACTCTGGGCCCCGAATGTCAAAGTCACGGCCTGGAGGTGTAGGTGGCCCTGCCTCAGGGCAGGGAAGACTCGCTGAGAAACAGTTCTGATTGTCGCCTCTTTTCCCGGTTTCAGCAATTTTAGGTGACATTTGCCTGAGGCTGTCGGCTGTTCACTTCGTTTGTATTTTCTTCCCTTTTGAGTGTTGGCGTTTGTTGTATCTAAATTCCAGTCACCACAGGAGGAAAACGCGAGTGGTCCCCTAATTCCTTGAAACCATTTCTCGCTGAGATGAGGGAGGCTAGCCGGGGAAGCTGCAACGTCTTCGAAGAAGCCAGGGTGGGTTTTACTGCGGAAAACCGGCATTCAAGGCAGAACAAAAGGACGAAAGCAGTGAACAGATGGGTGGGTGTTTTGCGAAGGCTCACGATCTATGTGAACGGTGCGGGCTGGGCCCTCCCTTCTTTTTGTTTTTGATGCATCACGGTATGATATGATATGATATGACAGAACATGTCAAAAATTTAGGGGAAAATAAAACCCTGGGTTTTTTTTTTGAAACATCAAACTATTGCTATCAATAGGAACAGCAACTGTTCAAAAATTTGTTTCAGAACTGCCAAGAAGTGAACGCTCAGGGAAAAAAAAAGTATTTTTCCCTGCTGTTTGCAAGGTGGACACAAATGCAAGCGGTAGGAGGCTGACAACTTGACACATGTCTAATAAATCTAAAGCCTAAAAAGTCAACAATTCACCGTTCGAGAAAGCATTACTGGAATAAAAAGTGCTACGCAAAGAAAGAACAGCCATTAAAAAATAGATTTTCTGAATTCAGTAAGTAATTTAGCCCTCAGAGCGCCAGTCTTCAAAACAAGGAAGCTTTTTCTTTCTCCGTTTAGGAGAGAGAGAGGCAGGGTTAGCCTGAGCGGCGGGGGCTGGCTGCATCTGAAATGAACCAGGTGAAAAGGCAGAGCCCAGAGAGCAGATGTTAGAGGCTGGGAGGGCTGGTGACAGGGGTCAGGGCGGGAGCCACGCACACCCCGGCTGCTCTGCGGCTCAAGGCGGGAGTGGGCTTAATTTGACAAGTTGGTCCAGTTACAGGGGATTCACAGATCAGAGTCCATGCCAAGCGCATTTGGCCACCACCAGCACGTCTGCCGCTGGCCAAGTGAACGGCAGTTGGGAAGCCGTCTCCGCGCTGACCGACCACCCGA